TTTTAAATAACCTGTTTGCTTACGCTGCAACTGGCGTGCATTTCAGGTTTTCATAGCTAAAATTGAAGAAAAATGAATTTGCCTAATGTTTGCAGATGCAGGAAAAACAATTCTTGCATTACTGTGGGCTGTTTATTTTGAAAATTTACATAATGCAAGATATCAATAATTCTTGTTAACAAAAAAAAAATACATTTCGTTGCAACTTTTCGTAACCGGCAAAGAGTCAATGCAACCCGCAATATAGCAATCCGATCCACATGTGTAACTGTTGCTTCATCAACAATTGGTATCACTACTTTGAGATCCGCAAAGATGTCCGCTTCCTTACCACGTCGATCACGTGCAGCAAAACGAGATGACTCACGATGTCGGTCAAGATTTCTAAAAAAAAATAAAAAAAAAACTAGTATTTTCAGACGCATACAATGAATGCAAAAACAAATCACCTGATAAATCCCTTCTATTTCGATTCAAAAGATTTCATTCGGACAATATTAGTATAACTTAAAGTAAAATCAATGGTGAAAACAATTTGGTGGTTGGTAATTATTAGTTTTTTTTTTTTCTTTTTATCAATGAACTATGTCAATTTGAAAAGAATGAATAGAATTAGGCCTGTGCAATTTATTTTTTTTTTATGTGAATTAGAATTACTTCATTGATACTGTCATTAAAATATTAATCATTAAGAATTAACTGATAGATTACCTATTAATTCAGCAATATTATTTCCATCGAAATTTTATTTAACAATTGGAATCATCTTAACAACATATTCTTAAATTATTTCGCATCCGAACTATTCAACAATTTGTAAGCATAAGTTAACAACTGATAAAGTTCGAATTACTTTGCTGTAATGCTAAGGAACGAACATTGCAGTAAAAAAAAAAAAAAAAGAACCCATTCGAACTTGCGACTAACACATCGTGTAAAATAATTATCATATAAAATAACAGATCGTATAAAATAATTCTGTCTTGCTGATAAGATCACTTATCAGTGTCATTTGCTTTTTAAAGAAGCAGCTTATTCCCTTTTTTTCCTCATTATTTGCCATTTCACCCTTTTCCATCTTGCAATTTCATTTTGTTACTTATATTCAAGTAACACTTAAAGTCATTAGCAATAAATTTTTTGCAACAATTTTATAAACATAATTAATTACTCCGATGGCAAAAACAGCTTAATCTCATCACTCTTCTATGATCGATCATTTTTCATAAAGCTAAATATGCAGTTAAAAGAAAAAATAAACGACAATTGTAATAAAAAATTAAAGAATAAAACTTTCCATCTCTTAATTCAACCTATTTGTCACAATAATTTTTCTATCTTTATCATAAAATATCCATCTCTTTGTTACATTCTTCGTAGCACTAATTCATCTCTTATTTTCCTATCATACATCATTCAGGTAGAAGTTGTTAGCTCAATTAAATCTTCTCTCATACTTCTTATCTTAAAAAACCATAAAGATATATCGATATAGAGTAGAGCTAAACTAAAAGTAATCATTATTCATATTTTAAATATTGCACAAAAAATCCTAACAGAAATTATATTCCTTATAAAATTTCATATGAAAAATATATTTAAATTATGCTTTCTAATTACTGATTAAATAATTATCATGAAATTAATCTCATCCATTCATAAATGATACAAATCAAAATAATTGATTCAAATTATCAAAAATGAAAAAAATAAATTAATTAGGGATTATGTTACACAAATAACAATTCAAAGAGAGAGAGGGGAAGAGAAAGAGAAAGAAAACATAAATTCTGAACCATAAATTATAACAAAATCGAGCAATAATTCGTAGGAATATATTTTAGTACAATCTTATCCTTAATTTTTAGCATTTGCATAAGAAAAAAGGGAAGTAAACATAATTAAGAAACCAAAAAACTTTGAAAATCCGCCTTTCCAGGGTGGCATTAATTTCACTAATCGGAATTAGTCGCATGCTGCACCCAAACCCACTGCTAAATGATCCTTTGAGGGATTTATTTCGTGTGATTCAACTTAGGATAAAGTTATTTCCGTTACTCATAATTCTCTAATTATCTTCCCAACTTTCTATTTTTATTAACTCTCATCGTCTTTCTCACACCATAAATACACTCTTTTCACTTCACCTATAATTATTAATTAGTTAATTAATTGCTATTTACAATTAATTTTATCTTCTGAGCATTTGGTAGAATTCGTTCGAGTATTTTAGCCTATATCATAACAAATAAAAAGATGTCACCAGCATGAAAGTAGATTATGAAGGTGGTTTAATAAAAATGTAATGTTAAACAAATAAGTTCAAATGATTTCATAATGTTGATCGAACCTAATCATTAAATTCGCTGTAACTCAAAACAATATTCACTAAATGAATTAATATCATTTTCAACGTACATATTTATACTTAAAATTCATTTTTTGCATTTAAAATGAATTAAAAATGATTAGATGGGATCAATTACTTTTGATTTTATTATTTATTAATATTTCAAAAAATTCTTTTCACAATTTTCTGCCGTGATAAACAAAGAGATGATACTAACATGAAAGAAAATCATGACCATGAAGATGGCGTATTGCCAGTAAATTCAAAATACTTTTATGACGTTGGTTAATTTTATTTTTGTAACTTCATTAGTATTTTAAAATTTACATTTTCGTTAAATTTATAGTTTGAGCCATTAAGAATGATGTTAGCTCCACTAATTCAAATCATTTTGAATGCATGGATTAATATTTTCTTACGTAATTATGTAAATCACTTAATTGAGGTCAATTTTTGGGATCAATTTTTTAAAAAAAATTAATTTATTATTTGACATGTAATGACTATCTGATTTTTTAATAATAACTAGAAATATTATTCGAAAATTGCTAAAACAATAAAATTGAAATAATTTAAAATGAGATTTAAGAGAAAAAATGCATAGAAATTAAGCATACCGTTGTCTCGAAGACATAAGTTATAGCAGCATCCCACTGAAATGCTTTCTGGTTTGAATAGCTGGTTTGATATGGCATTGAACACTGATATGCTTGCTTGATCGTAAGGATGCACTGCAATTTATAAACTATATTTAATTATTGTTTATGAGAAAAGTTCACTTTGAAATTAGGTGAAGAATAAATTGTAATAAATAAATTGGAAATATAATAACAATAAGACATTATAGTAATTTAATAACACTACTACTAATAGTAATAACAATACTCAACACGCATGCAAGAACAATGTTAATAGAAATCAATGAAGCCAACAAAAAAAGCATGCACTTCAATACAAAAAAATGCCATAATAACAAATGGTATGAGTAAAGATACAAAATGCTGTAGTTAATGGAATTAACTGAAAAATGCATGCAAAAACAATGTTAATAAAAAAAAAAAAAAACGATGAGAACAACGAAAAACAAAAGCATGCAATAAATAGAAAAGAAAAAACGCTTTAATAATAAATGGTGTAAGTAGATTCACAAAACACATGCATGTTAGTAAAACTAACCAAGAAACGCATGCAAAAACAGTGTTAATAAAAAAACAGCAAATAGTATAAAGTAACAAAAAGCATGCAGTTAATAAAATTAACAGAAAAAATGCATGCAAAAACAATGTTAATAAAAAAAAAAATGATGAGAACAACGAAAAAAATAAAAGCATGCAATAAATGCAAAAGAGAAAAGTATACACCTTAATAATAAATGTTGTAAGTTTACAAAAAACATGCATGTTAATATAACTACCCAAGAAACGCATGCAAAAACAATGTTAATAAAAAAACAGCGAATAGTATAAAGTAACAAAAAGCATGCAGTTAATAAAATTAACAAAAAATGCATGCAAAAACAATGTTAATAAAAAACGAGTGAAAAATAAAAGCATGCAATAAATACAAAAGAAAAAAGTGTACACCTTAATAATAAGTGTTGTAAGTTTACAAAAAACATGCATGTTAATATAACTACCCAAAAAACGCATGCAAAAACAATGTTAATAAAAAAACAGCAATTAGTATAAAGTAACAAAAAGCATGCAGTTAATAAAATTAACCAAAAAATGCATGCAAAACAGTGTTAATGAAAAACGAGTGAAAAATAAAAGCATGCAATAAATACAAGAGAAAAAAGTGTACATGAGAAAAAGATACAAAGAACATGCAGTTAATAAAATTAAGAAAAAATGCATGCAAAAACAATGTTAATAAAAAACGAGTGAAAAACAAAAGCATGCAATAAATAGAAAAGAAAAAACGCTTTAATAATAAATGGTGTAAGTAGATTCACAAAACACATGCATGTTAGTAAAACTAACCAAGAAACGCATGCAAAAACAGTGTTAATAAAAAAACAGCAAATAGTATAAAGTAACAGAAAGCATGCAGTTAATAAAATTAACCAAAAAATGCATGCAAAACAGTGTTAATAAAAAACGAGTGAAAAATAAAAGCATGCAATAAATACAAAAGAAAAAAGTGTACATGAGAAAAAGTTACAAAGAACATGCAGTTAATAAAATTAACAAAAAACGCATGCAAAAACAATGTTAATAAAAAACGAGTGAAAAATAAAAGCATGCAATAAATACAAAAGAAAAAAGTGTACACCATAATAATAAATGTTGTAAGTTTACAAAAAACATGCATGTTAATATAACTACCCAAGAAACGCATGCAAAAACAATGTTAATAAAAAAACAGCAAATGGTATAAAGTTACAAAAAGCATGCTGTTAATAGAACAAACTCAACACGCATGCAAAAACGATGTTAATAGAAATGAGTGAAGCCAACAAAAAAAACATGCATTTAAATACAAAAAAAATGTGCGCCATAATAACAAATGCGTGAGTAAAGATACAAAATGCATGCAGTTAGTAGAATTAATCGAAAAATGCATGCAAAAATACAGTTAATAAAAAACGAGTGAGAACAACGAAAAAATAAAAGCATGCAATAAATGCAAAAGAAAAAGTGTTCATGAGAAAAAGTTACAAAAAGCATGCAGTTAGTAAAATACAAAATATGCACATGTTAATAGCAAAAATAAAAAAAAAATAAAAAAATAAAAAAACACGCAATTAGTAGAAATAACCGAAAACACATGCAAAACCAATATAAACAAAAAAAAGATAAAAGTGAAAGATTTTTGAAATAAAAAAAAAAAAAAGTGATACAAAATAGTGGTAATACAACAAAAATAAATTAGTATCAGTGGAATGGACAAAAGTTAGCAAGAAGTAAAATGCTAAAGGCATGAAAAAATGAAAATAGCAACAAATGAAATGAATGAAAAAAAGCATGCAAATAATAAAATCCAAAAAAAAATTACCAAAAAAAGAAAAAAATCCATAAAAAGATTCCAAAAAATAATCCGAATAAAAAGAATTAATTTCAAAAAAGATTTTTGATTTTAACTCAATTCAGAAAAAAAATTGAAAACGCAAAAATTAAAAAAAAAAAAACAAAAATTAAATATTTTTGATATCTTTTTAAAGCCCAAAGCTCTACCAATTCAAAAAATATACTTAAAAATGAATAGAGATCAAGAATTTTGAAATTTATTCCAGATTTCAAAAGGCCCTTCATCTGAATTTTAAAACCAAACATTTTTTCTATATGCTTCGTTAATGTTATACTGACGAAGGAAGGTATAATTCTGTACCTCCCTTCGACCACCCCTACCCTCCCTCCCACCACATACACACAAAGATAATTACAGAGATAATTACAAATGATATCAACTTATGATTTAGCTCAAAATAAAATTCAAAATTAGATCTTATTAACTCAATCCTCTATTGACAACTTATCCTATTTAAATTAAAAGACTACTTGAATACAAACAGAAATTCTAAAAAAATTGCTCTATTCCATTAAAAATATATTCATGTGATGAAATTTGTGCATTTTTTTAATAGCCAAAAAATCATCTTAAAATGTAAATAACTTATTACAAGTTAGAAAATACAAAAAATAAATATAGAATAAGTTGATATTCGATGTATACAGCAATAAAATTAAATAAAAAATTTAACACCATTAGTAACACTAAAATAACAATGAAAATTTTCATTAAACAGAAATAATGGATAAAGTAACAATAATTGTAAAAAAAAAACAATAATTGTGATAAGTTTAGAAAATCAAAAAAAAAAAGAAAAAAAAAAACAGTTATTAAACAGTTATAAGTAATATCAAAAAAATAAGAACATTAAATTACATTATTTAGATGAAAATAAACAAAATACACAATTTTCAACAAAATTAGCTGCCCAAAGGCTAAAAAACAAAAAAAGAAAAAAAAAAAAAAAGAAAAAACAACTGATTTCAAAGTAATTTGGTTTATGTTTGTGATGGCAAAAAAATGCCCTTTACAAGCTTTTGATTACTCTATCACTAAGACGGTAAATGACATACAAAAACGTAAAACAGCTACAAACTCCTCAGCCTTTTCTATATTTTGAAATCAGTTGTTCTTATGTTAAATCAAAGAACAAATTTTTTTTTTTTTCATTTTTTCTATTTTTAATTTTTTTTATTCTTTTGATTTTTTTTTTGGTTTTTTTGATTTTTTTGTTTTTTAGTTTTTTTTTTTTTATTTTTTAGTTTTTTTTTTTTATTTTTTGTTTTTTTTTTTTATTTTTTAGTTTTTTTTTTTTATTTTTTAGTTTTTTTTTTTTATTTTTTAGTTTTTCATTTTTTTTTTTTTTTTTTAAATTTTTTGGATGTTACTAACCAGCTTTCATTGGAAGAGGATGGAGATTCGCAGCAGGCAGCGACAGGTGGCCGCATGAGGAAGACCAGGCAATAATATTAGCCTAAAAAAAACCACTGATTAGAAAAATTACGAGACCCACTTTAATATTTTGTTTTCTATGGTCATTCATTTTTTTTTTTTTTTAACTTTTAAATTTCACTTCTTCAATGCTAATTAATTTCTTACCTGGGATGAAGAGGTGATGCGCATCCTCTTCTCTTCCTACCAGGTCAAGTCTGCGCCGCTTCACCTGTCGTTCGCTTATTACGGCCGCGCATGCCCTCGGGCACCAATCGAGGGCATGAAGCTCCATTGCTGCCGTTCTCTGGGCGGCCGTAAATTCAGGTGGCAGCAAGAGGTAATGCCCACAACGGGCACAAAAGCCTGGAATATGCAAATTAATCAGTCCACTGGCTTTTAAATGAATCAAATGTAGCGATATCTTTAAAAACTAATTGGAAATTCATTTCGCAATACTTACCATCTTGCTTGTGTGTTCTCGACGCGTGAATGCGCCACCCTTTCAACGTTTCAAACTGCCTGCAGCAGAGGCCACACACTGAAAATAGAAATAGTAAGAAAATATTGTTGCACAAACTGTTCTTCGAGTATCGATATAGAATTTTGTAATCGTTTTAGTGCATTATAAGGGATGAAATTTTCGATGATATCATATGATTTTATCAATACAAAGTCAAAATATGATTGTATTTCTTCTACAAATTGCGGCATATAATCATTTCTTAAGTTATTAAAATTATAACTTACCGATGTTCTTGCTTCCTTCTCCTTGTGCCACCGTGTATGGCTCTGCTTGCGGCACTATCAACTCTCTTCGGAGTTGCTCCGGAAGATCTTTTAAATCAGCTGGTTGGAATTTCTCCGGAGGTGCCGCAGCCATTGCTTCTTGCATGGCAGGAACCGGGATTCTGATTGTCCTCGTTCGCCTGAAACAGTTTTATATTTATTGCAAATTATTGGGTAGGTAAGGTTAATATCTAGTTAGCAAATTAGTACAATAGCTGCTAAAACTTAAACTTACAGGACGAGTTCGCGTACTGCTCCTACCGGTTCCTCGATCTCCATTGGTACCCCCGGTACCTCAGGCTCTTCTTCTTCTTCCTCTTCTTCTGGCAGAGGGGTCCACTCTGCTTCTGATGGCCAGTTCTCGGCCTCATCACCATTTTCATTTTCAGGCAGAGGAGCCCACTCTGCCTCTTCTTCGTTAAATTCCGGCTCCTGAGGCACCGGGTCCTCTTCCATTGCTGGCTGGGCACTCTGCCCTACCAGTTCCTCCAACCTCCACCCCGCCTCCGCCATCCTCTCTATGAGCGACTGTTCAAACTGAAAAAGCTATTTTTTACAGTCACTTTTTAAATTTATGGCAGTGCAAAGTTCAGCAACTCTTTCTTCATACTGTATCAATTTATAAAAAAAAATAAAAGCAAAAAAGAGGAAGACAAAGTGAAAATTACCTGAACAGTCCTGCTCACGAACCTTTGCAAAATCCGGTACATCTCCGGCTCCCTTTTAAGGTATTCGAAAAGCACTTCGATTTCTTGATCCTCCATGGGAGCCGCAATTCTATAAAATTAGCAAACTTATCAAATATTCACTAAGTACAATGACCGTAACTATTACGTAACTATTATTTACTTATACGTAACCATTATTTACTTATGGTAAAAGAACACATGATAAAAAAACACTGGTTTACATATTTTAATTTACCTACACATAATTCTATTTATGCTAATCATTAAATACCCCATACTTTCCCTGATAATTCTGACGCAACAAAAAGAAAAGAAAGTAGTGACGAAAATGAACATTCATAATAATAGTATTTCTCTGCAATCTTTCGCGCTCGAGAGTCTTTATCCTTTCGCGCTCATGAAGATTTTTTTTTTTTTTTTTCATCTAATATATGGAGACTGTTCCATCTTCGAATATTTCTTTGGTCTCTACTACATCTCGACCTAACATCTTTGTACTATGTATATTATCGTTCTTCTACATAAACTTTCTTTTTCTTCTCTCAATTATTTCTATTAACTAATGCAGATTTTTATTGATTTTCTTAGGAATGAATAGACAAATAAAGGTTACGTACAAATTACCACTTCTGATTTTTTCACAATTTAATAAGATTTTTTTAGCAATTCATTCATGTTCTATTCCTTGTATTTCTCATCGTCGTCAAAATTTTTTTTATCATTATGGCATCCACCAGGTACTGTATTGACCAAAAACAGTGCAGTTATAGGAGCTGTTTACAAAAAAACTTTTTGATTTACTAGCTAAACAGGATATAACTTTTCACCCTTTTTAGTAAAAATAAAATTAGTAAGAATTAAAATGTTTTTAACATTTAATTTATTATAACTTTTAATATCTGTCGAAATTTCTTAGGTAACCCTGTCTGGATTTGTGACTAAAAATAATTTTAATATTTATAAAATATTCGAAATCAATTATAATTGCAGTTTTAATTAATTTCTGCAATGAAAGTTTGCTTTAAAGTTAACTTTTAAAGTCAGAAGTTAGCATAAAATGTCAAAAATAGTAAATAGAATGTCAGCAGATCAAGTTTAATGCATATAAATGTAATCAATTAAGTTCAATAAATGTTTATTTTTAAATGAAATACATTTTTCCAGCACTGGCAGATTTTATTTGAAACAGAGTTAATAAAAATTAAAACGTTTTTAATATTTAATTTATTAGAACTTTTAAATGCTGGTAAGTTTGATAACATACTTTTTTTATTAGAACTTTTAAAATGTTTTATTCTTGTCTAGGTACCGCATGAAATTTGTTGTGCCAAAATTATCTTTAGATTGTTTACTATCGTTTATTTGCATTTAAAAAAGCTAATTCTCTGATACGATTATCAAGAGTGGAGAAAATCAATGCTAATAAAAATCTCCGTTGACGGTATAAATGTTACTCTATTCCCTCATTTGTTTGTCTTCTTATTTATTCACCATCTTCAAAGCACATAAAGCGTTCTTTCTTATTGCGCCAAATAGTTAATTCCAGCCAGCTTGACAATGCATTTACAACGGAGATACCAACACCATGTACCACGTAAATCCGTCAGAAACCTTATAGGTATATTGCTACCAGATTCGTACACTAGGGTCATTATTATTATCTATGTTGCTGATATTCCTTCTTCATGACAATATCAGCTCAAATGCTACAACCATTATCACTCACAGATACTCACCTATGCTAACCTCAATTTTGCCATAATACCCGAGCACTAAAGACTCACCTACACCTTATATTATCAACAACCTCATATATGCAAGCCAGACCCATCACCAGGTATCCCTAACCCCTCTCTCTCCCCCGCCCCCTCCCCTCAACGTACACACCTGGATGGACGCTTCCTTACAATACCATGACCTCTTAAGATTTTTATTGCACCAGCGTTATTAATTTACTACTTTCCATACAAACTTTTCCATTCTACTTATAAATGTTAATATATTTTATATATGTATTATTAAATAACGTTAACATTAGAGAATCACTTTACGCCACCACCGTTAATATACGGATTGGATAGAAGGATTCGAACCCTAGCACAGCGACACCGAAGACCGCTGCCTTATCACTTGGCTACGCCCACCCCAACATTATTCACTTCTGTAACAACATACTATTAATAAGATTTTTTTAGCAATTCATTCATGTTCTATTCCTTGTATTTCTCATCGTCGTCAAAATTTTTTTTATCATTATGGCATCCACCAGGTACTGTATTGACCAAAAACAGTGCAGTTATAGGAGCTGTTTACAAAAAGACTTTTTGATTTACTAGCTAAACAGGATATAACTTTTCACCCTTTTTAGTAAAAATAAAATTAGAAAGAATTAAAATGTTTTTAACATTTAATTTATTATAACATTTAATATCTGTCGAAATTTCTTAGGTAACCCTGTCTGGATTTGTGACTAAAAATAATTTTAATATTTAAAAAACATTTGAAATCAATTATAATTGCAGATTTAATTAATTTCTGCAATGAAAGTTTGCTTTAAAGTTAACTTTTAAAGTCCAAAGTTAGCATAGAATGTCAAAAATAGTAATTAAAATGTCTGCAGATCAAGTTTAATGCAAAGAATCAATTAAGTTCAGTAAATGTTTATTTTTAAATGAATTACATTTTTTCCAGCACAGGTAGATTTTATTTGAAACAGAATTAAGTAAAATTAAAACATTTTTAGTATTTATTTTATTAAAACTTTTAAAATCTGTCGAAATTTCTGTAGTAACCCAATCTGGATTTGGACTAAAATTAATTTTAATATTTTAAAAATATTTGAAATCAATTATAATTGCATTTAAAAAATTCCTGCAATGAAAGTTTGCTTTAAAGTTAACTTTTAAAGTCAGAAGTTAGCAAAAAATGTCAAAAATAGTAAATAGAATGTAAGCAGATCAGGTTTAATGCAAATAAAAGAATCAATTAAGTTCAATAAATGTTTATTTTTAGAAAAAATAAACATTTACTGAAAGAAATTAATTAAAAAATAATTTGCAATGAAAGTTTGCTTTAAAGTTAACTTTTAAAGTCCAAAGTTAGCATAAAATGTCAAAAATAGTAAATAGAATGCAAGCAGATCAAGTTTAATGCAAATAAAAGAATCAATTAAGTTCAATAAATGTTTATTTTTAGAAAAAATAAACATTTACCGAAAGAAATTAATTAAAAAATAATTTGCAATGAAAGTTTGCTTTAAAGTTAACTTTTAAAGTCCAAAGTTAGCATAAAATGTCAAAAATAGTAAATAGAATGTCAGCAGATCAAGTTTAATGCAAATAAAAGTAATCAATTAGGTTCAATAAATGTTTATTTTTAAATTAATTACATTTTTTCCAGCACAGGTAGATTTTATTTGAAACAGAATTAAACAAAATTAAAACGTTTTTAGTATTTATTTTATTAAAACTTTTAAAATCTGTCGAAATTTCTGCAGTAACCCAATCTGGATTTGTGACTAAAATTAATTTTAATATTTAAAAAATATTTGAAATCAATTATAATTGCATTTTAAAAAATTTCTGCAATGAAAGTTTGCTTTAAAGTTAACTTTTAAAGTCAGAAGTTAGCAAAAAATGTCAAAAATAGTAAATAGAATGTAAGCAGATCAGGTTTAATGCAAATAAAAGAATCAATTAAGTTCAATAAATGTTTATTTTTAGAAAAAATAAACATTTACTGAAAGAAATTAATTAAAAAATAATTTGCAATGAAAGTTTGCTTTAAAGTTAACTTTTAAATTCCAAAGTTAGCATAAAATGTCAAAAATAGTAAATAGAATGTCAGCAGATCAAGTTTAATGCAAATAAAAGTAATCAATTAGGTTCAATAAATGTTTATTTTTAAATTAATTACATTTTTTCCAGCACAGGTAGATTTTATTTGAAACAGAATTAAGTAAAATTAAAACATTTTTAGTATTTATTTTATTAAAACTTTTAAAATCTGTCGAAATTTCTGCAGTAATCCAATCTGGATTTGTGACTAAAATTAATTTTAATATTTAAAAAATATTTGAAATCAATTATAATTGCAGTTTTAATTAATTTCTGCAATGAAAGTTTGCTTTAAAGTTAACTTTTAAAGTCCAAAGTTAGCATAAAATGTCAAAAATAGTAAATAGAATGTCAGCAGATCAAGTTTAATGCAAATAAAAGTAATCAATTAAGTTCAGTAAATGTTTATTTTTAAATGAATTACATTTTTCCAGCACAGGTAGATTTTATTTGAAACAGAATTAAGTAAAATTAAAACATTTTTAGTATTTATTTTATTAAAACTTTTAAAATCTGTCGAAATTTCTGCAGTAACCCAATCCAGATTTGTGACTAAAATTAATTTTAATATTTATAAAATATTCGAAATCAATTATAATTGCAGTTTTAATTAATTTCTGCAATGAAAGTTTGCTTTAAAGTTAACTTTTAAAGTCAGAAGTTAGCATAAAATGTCAAAAATAGTAAATAGAATGTCAGCAGATCAAGTTTAATGCATATAAATGTAATCAATTAAGTTCAATAAATGTTTATTTTTAAATGAAATACATTTTTCCAGCACTGGCAGATTTTATTTGAAACAGAGTTAATAAAAATTAAAACGTTTTTAATATTTAATTTATTAGAACTTTTAAATGCTGGTAAGTTTGATAACATACTTTTTTTATTAGAACTTTTAAAATGTTTTATTCTTGTCTAGGTACCGCATGAAATTTGTTGTGCCAAAATTATCTTTAGATTGTTTACTATCGTTTATTTGCATTTAAAAAAGCTAATTCTCTGATACGATTATCAAGAGTGGAGAAAATCAATGCTAATAAAAATCTCCGTTGACGGTATAAATGTTACTCTATTCCCTCATTTGTTTGTCTTCTTATTTATTCACCATCTTCAAAGCACATAAAGCGTTCTTTCTTATTGCGCCAAATAGTTAATTCCAGCCAGCTTGACAATGCATTTACAACGGAGATACCAACACCATGTACCACGTAAATCCGTCAGAAACCTTATAGGTATATTGCTACCAGATTCGTACACTAGGGTCATTATTATTATCTATGTTGCTGATATTCCTTCTTCATGACAATATCAGCTCAAATGCTACAACCATTATCACTCACAGATACTCACCTATGCTAACCTCAATTTTGCCATAATACCCGAGCACTAAAGACTCACCTACACCTTATATTATCAACAACCTCATATATGCAAGCCAGACCCATCACCAGGTATCCCTAACCCCTCTCTCTCCCCCCGCCCCCTCCCCCTCAACGTACACACCTGGATGGACGCTTCCTTACAATACCATGACCTCTTAAGATTTTTATTGCACCAGCGTTATTAATTTACTACTTTCCATACAAACTTTTCCATTCTACTTATAAATGTTAATATATTTTATATATGTATTATTAAATAACGTTGACATTAGAGAATCACTTTACGCCACCACCGTTAATATACGGATTGGATAGAAGGATTCGAACCCTAGCACAGCGACACCGAAGACCGCTGCCTTATCACTTGGCTACGCCCACCCCAACATTATTCACTTCTGTAACAACATACTATTACTCACCAATTAGTATGATTTATTTCTTCTATAGGTATTATTACAATAGCTTACACCATTTAGTATGATTTATTTCTTCTATAGGTATTATTAACAATAACTTACACCATTTGTTATTAAGGTTTACACTTTTTTTTTTTGTATTTATTGCATGCATTTATTTTTTTCGTTGTTCTCACTCGTTTTTTATTAACTTTGTTTTTGCATGCATTTTTCGGTTAATTTTATTAACTGCGTGCTTTTTGTAACTTTATATTATTTGATGTTTTTTTATTAACAATGTTTTTGCATGCGTTTCTTGGCTAGTTTTATTAACATGCATGTATTTTGTGAACTTACTTACATAATTTATTATTAAGGCGTTTTTTCTTTTGTATTTATTGCATGCTTTTATTTTTAACTTTTTCGTAACTTTATTCATATCTTTTGTATTTATTGCATGCTTTTATTGGCTACACCTACTCCAACATCATTCACTTGTGTAACAACATACTATTACTCACCAATTAGTATGATTTGTTTCTTCTATAGGTATTATTACAATAGCTGGCTGATCATAAGAATGCATTGCTCAACTTTTTCAATAATTTTATCAATTTGATCGCTTCTGCTTTTCATAATTGCTATTACTTCACAACTACTATTAATTTCACCTTTTTATAGATAAAGAGAATTCACTTTAGGTAATATATTTTTTCTTTCTTCAGAAACATATATATATATATATACATATATATATATATAGCTAATTTCTTTATTCTTTAATAATTCTTCAGGAATAGTTTTAGCCTCCCTCACATTCGAAAAAGTTGTATAAACTAAAACTAAACTGTTCATTAGAATCATCTACTATACATCACTTAGATTGAAAAATCTCTTAAGAAAAAATAGAAGAGAAATCCTGTTGTTTCACTATGTAACAATGAAAATTTGAAATTTTTTATTATCAAATCCTTAATCGAAATACAAAAAAAGGATTTTACTCGATGAATAACAACGCAGAAACCAACAATTATCCCAGCAATTGCAGAAAAGAGTATTAATTAAATCTGTGGAGTTTTAGCTCTTTTTTTTTTTTATTTTATTTGCTAGTAGCTCACAGACTTTCATTTCTCTCCTTGGATTCTCAAAAATCTTAGCGCATTGTGTGTACGTATCACTGTGCAGCCCTGATGGCAGTACAAAATGCCCATGCAAAATACGCCTCAAATTCGTTTATTCTAACATCATTTTTGGATTTCACCCTTACATTCTTTATTAATCATTTGGGTATATCGTGTAAGTAGACAAAATTAGTCATCCCATAATGTACAGAGGAAAGTCATCGATCGATACGAGATAACTAATTACCATAATATAGCAGCGGCAGCAGCAGCATTCCATCGGTACTCCAGCATTGCCAGTTGCAGCGCCTATAGCTAAAAAAAATCATATGAACATTTGGCTGAAGGAAAATGTACTGCACCCACTCATTCATCTCTGCAATAAGCTTTACTGTAATCAAAATAAACGTGGCACATTCATTCATATTGGTTTTTGTGCGTGCGTGCATATTGGTAAAATAAAAGACGACAACTTTTTTGACGCTTTTAGCTTATTTTACACGCAGTCTATGGTTATAAGCAGTGTTGCAATGAATGATTTAGAAAAAAAATGCAAGCGTTAATGCTGGCATGACTCACTTTAGTGTTTGAGTTGATGATATGCCCTTACAGCAGCACATAAATAAACAGCAGTAAATCAGAAATGCCTGCATGAAATTTGCAGACATTATGCAAGCAAAATACAACGAAAGACTATAAAATTCGCTGCCATCTTTAAATTCATGCAAAAAACACGTGATAAAAGACCATACAGCGGGTGGAACAAACTTTAAAGAAAGAGAAAGACAAAGTGAAAATTACCTGAACAGTCCTGCTCACGAACCTTTGCAAAATCCGGTACATCTCCGGCTCCCTTTTAAGGTATTCGAAAAGCACTTCGATTTCTTGATCCTCCATGGGAGCCGCAATTCTATAAAATTAGCAAACTTATCAAATAATCACTAAGTACAAAGACCGTAACTATTACGTTCTGTCGATATTTCTGTAGTAACCCAATCTGGATTTGTGACTGAAATTAATTTTAATACTTCAAAAATATTTGAAATCAATTATAATTGCAGATTTCATTAATTTCTGCAATGAAAGTTTGCTTTAAAGTTAAGTCCAAAATTAGCATAAAATGTCAAAAATAGTAAATAGAATGTCAGCAGATCAACTTTAATGCAAATAAAAGTAATCAATTAAGTTCAATAAATGTTTATTTTTAGATAAAATATATTTTTCCAGCACAGGTAGATTTTATTTGAAACAGAATTAAACAAAATTAAAACGTTTTTAGTATTTATTTTATTAAAGCTTTTAAAATCTGTCGAAATTTCTGTGGTAACCCAGTCTGGATTTGTGACTGAAATTAATTTTAATATTTAAAAAATATTTGAAATCAACTATAATTGCAGTTTTAATTAATTTCTGCAATGAAGGTTTGCTTTAAAGTTAACTTTTAAAGTCCAAAGTTAGCATAAAATGTCAAAAATAGTAAATAGAATGTCAGCAGATCAAGTTTAATGCAAATAAAAGTAATCAATTAAGTTCAGAAAATGTTTATTTTTAAATAAATTACATTTTTTCCAGCACAGGTAGATTTTATTTGAAACAGAATTAAACAAAATTAAAACGTTTTTAGTATTTATTTTATTAAAGCTTTTAAAATCTGTCAAAATTTCTGTAGTAACCCAATCTGGATTTGTGACTAAAATTAATTTTAATATTTAAAAAATATTCGAAATCAATTATAATTGCAGTTTTAATTAATTTCTGCAATGAAAGTTTGCTTTAAAGTTAACTTTTAAAGTCCAAAGTTAGCATAAAATGTCAAAAATAGTAAATAGAATGTCAGCAGATCAAGTTTAATGCAAATAAAAGTAATCAATTAAGTTCAATAAATGTTTATTTTTAGATAAAATATATTTTTCCAGCACAGGTTGATTTTATTTGAAACAGAATTATTAAAAATTAAATAAATTGAATGTCAGCAAGATAGGATTTTATATAAACTTTTAAAATATCGTCGAAAATTTC